GCGGGAGGCCAGCCCTAAATGGCTTCCCTATTTACAATGAGGGCTATGGTGTGGAATTGTCGAGGCCTGTGGGAATCCTTGACAGTTACCTTTATGAAGGAGACAATGCGTCTTCACTCTCCAAGTATGATTTTCTTAAGTGAAACAAAAAATAGAAAAGCACGATTAAGAGGGTACAAAGAAAAGTAAATATGGTGCACGCTATAACTGTGGAGCCGATGGGATTATCAGGAGGTCTAGCTTTATTTTGGAATGACACTATCCAGGTATGTGAATCACATTCTTCTCCTTTTTATATCGAAACTTTGATAAAAGATGACTTAGCTGATTGCAAATATTGGTGTATATTTATGTATCTAAGTACAGATAGAGTTACTCGTAGATATCAGATGCAATAATTAGTTAAAAAATGCATAGATTGGGGTGCTTTGTGGGTCATAGCTGGTGACTTTAATGATATTATTGATGGATCGGAAAAACAAGGAGGAAGAAATAGAGATACTCGGACATTTAGAGACTTTAAGAACTTTATATGGAACTTAGGTGCAATTGACTTCGTGTTACATTTAGAGACTTTAAGAACTTTATATGGAACTTGGACATGGTGGTGTTACAGGGAAATGAGGGTATAATCCAGCAAAGGCTAGATCGTGTCTTAGTCTCTCCTAATTGGAAAATTAAATTCGAGAATGTGAATGTGCAACATATTGAAACTGAGGCATCATATCATTCTGCCTTGATGTTGTCTTCTGATGCAGAACCAATAAGGAAGAAAAAATGATTTTACTTTGATAAAAGGTGGATTGAGCGTGAAGGAGTTCAGAGTATTATTTCAAAAGCTTGGTCGTATGATTGTAATGGCTTTGAGCAATCTCGAGTTAGCTTTAAACTCAAACATTGTCGTAGATCTTTGGTGGCTTGGTTAAGGGGGGGGTAATGGTAATGCAAGAAAGATAATTATTAGTATTAAGGGAAAGATTACAGCCCTTAGGAATAACGCTAGTAATTTTGACTGGAGTAAATTAAGGTTACTGAAAAGGGAACTAAGCAAAGCCTATAACGATGAAGAAACCTTTTGGAAACATAAGTCTAGAGCTTTATGGTTGCGTGAAGGGGATAAAAATACTTCATATTTTCACATGGCAACCTTGCAAAGAAGAAATAGAAATATGATAAAAGGTTTCCAGATATCTGATGGGAGGTGGGTGGTAGACCAATCTGATATAATTCAAGAAGTTGAGCAGTATTATAATGCGGTGTTTGCGATGCATCCTCTTAAAGCACCAGGTGTTGATGGTATGACTCCTCTATTTTTTCAAACGTATTGGAATATCTTATCAAAGGAAATTTGTGATGCTGTTAAAAGTTTCTTTAGTACAGGATATTTACTCCCTACATGGAACCATACTTTAATCACTTTAGTGCCCAAAGTTAAAAGCCCCACCCTAGTTTCGCAATTTAGACCAATAAGTTTATGTTCTACCTTGTACAAGATTATTGCAAAAATTCTGACTGCAAGAATGAAATGTGTTCTAACTAAGGTGATATCCCCTACTCAAGCGGCTTTCATCGGTCATAGACAAATAACTGACAATGTTATTTTAGCTCATGAATTTATGCAGATGTTAAAAAACAAACGTAGAGGTAGGCAAAAATATATGGCTATGAAATTGGATATGTCGAAAGCCTATGACAGAGTCGAATGGATTTATTTACAAGAAATGCTTTTACAAATGGGTTTCCATAAAAGATTTGTCGAATGGATAATGCAATGCATCTCTACACCTACTTATAGTTTTAATATAAATTGGGAGATAGTTGGATCGGTTAAACCTACCAGGGGGATAAGACAAAGAGATCCATTATCACCATATTTATTTTTAACATGTGCTGAAGGTTTATCAACCTTATTGAACATATCATAGGAACAAAATGAAATCCAAGGGCGAAAGTTGAATAGACATAGGCCAAGTGTGACTCATTTACTTTTTGTGGATGACTCCTTTATATTTTGTTCAGCTAACAATCAAAATGCAAGTTGTGCAACCAATATCTTAAAGAAATATGAACGAAACTCTGGGCAAGTGGTTAATCTAGATAAATCAACAATCTGTTTTAGTAAAAATGTGAGAGAGGAGGAGAAAGTTGAGATGTCCTCGTTGCTTGGACAACAACAAAGGAATGACATGGGTATGTACTTAGGCTTACCGGCTGTTGTGGGATGCTCCAAGAAAAGGATGCTAGAGTTTATAAAAGAAAGAGTCAAGACGAAAATAAAAGGATGGAAGGGAAAAAATTTAAGTACTGCGGGAAAAGAAATTATGCTCAAGATCGTACTAGCAGTGATCCCTACGTATGCTTTGTCTTGTTTCCAACTCCCTGATGGTCTATGTAAGGAAATTACATCCCTTTTTTCAAATTTTTGGTGGGGACAAACAGAGGAGAAAAGAAAGATGCATTTTGAGAAATGGGATAGATTATGTGATTCTAAATCAATAGGAGGATTAGGCTTTAGAGATCTAAAAGCTTTTAATATGGCACTATTAGCTAAGCAAGCTTGGCGAATTCTATCTCAGCTAGATTCTTTAATAGCAAGAGTTCTTAAAAGCAAACATTTTCCAAACTCAACCTTTCTTAAAGCTTCAACATCATCTTTTGGTTCTCGGATATGGAAGAGTATTTTGTGGGGAAGAGATCTTTTGACTAAAGAATTAAGATGGAGGATTTCTGATGGGAAATATATTAATGTGTGGATCGACTCTTGGATACCAAATAATAATGGCTTCATACCTAAGAGTATTCATGGGCATAGAAATTTAGATTTAGTAGTATATGATTTAATTGATAAGAATATGCACACATGGAAAATACAAGAGCTAAATTGGTTGTTTGAAGCTAAATATGTTATTGCTATATCGTCTATCCCAATTTCTATTGCAGGTTCTAATGATAGGTTAATATGGCACCATACAAAAATAGGAAACTATGAAGTTAAGTCTGGTTACTACATCGCAAAGGATTTGATCGGTAAGACAAGCAAAAATTCGGAAGCTCAAGCGAGTTGTCACTCTTTTCCAAAATGCTTTCGGGACTTCCTATTGAAGTTGGGAGTTAAAAATAAGCTTAAACACTTTTTGAGAAAATGTGTGCTTAACTCTCTACCCGTCCATAGTAATTTAGCAAAAAGACTACACAATGTAGATAAGACTTGTAAGATTTGTGGTCTTGGACCTGAAGATATAGAACATATGTTATTCAAATGTCCTCGGTCTCAACTTGTGTGGAAGCAATGTCCTATAAATTGGCCTGATATAGGATATATTAATGATTTTTCTATATGGTGGTATGACTTGTTCTTAAATACCAAATCTTTTCCTGAATCTATTGACTTGTTAAACTTGAGCGCTAACATTATTTGGCAAATTTGGAAAGGTAGGAATAGTTGGTTGTTTAATCAGGAAAGGTTAGAACCAAGAGATATTGTTTCTAGATCGATGTTTGAGTATGAAGAATATAAAGAGTTACTAACAAAAAATCTTCCGTCTTGTTCCTCTAGAAATCATCCTGCGATTAAACTAACAAATTTGCAAGATGGCATTTTATTGTTTACAGATGCAGGATTGCAGAATGATGATGGAAGGGCAAGTATCGTATTGCGGCTTTGAATAGCCTTGGGAACCTGCTTCATGCCCATGGATCCCCCATCCAATTTGTTGGGAAAGTCATGATTGCTGAAGCGATTGCTATTAGGAAAGCTCTTAAATATGCTATTAGTAAGGGATGGAAGAGAGTGAAGATTTTATCAGATGCTAAAAATGTTGTTGATATGATTCAGAAACGAGTAACGACTTCATGGGAGATAGAAGTGTTGTGTGAGGACATTTGGAAGCTTTCAAGCATGTTCAATCATGTAGAATTTATATATATTTCTAGATCTATGAACAAAATAGCGGATAGGTTAGCTAGATACTCCATCTCTTTGTTGAAGGAAATCTCTTGGGAGAAGTTTTTGCCAAGTTGGATCATTCCAGGATGCAAAAGATATGTTTAAACTATGTATTCCGTTGATGCAATAATAAAAGAGGTTCTGTTTCGGAGAAAATAAAAAGATTGGTTTGGTTGTCCAGTACTCTATCTAGCACGACCTTTTCTCTAGTACCTCTAGCCCAACCTTCTACATCACCTGGTCATTCTTTATATGTTCTAACCTATCTTACACTTGTTGGACTTGGGATCTGACTCAAAGATAGGTTTATATTTAGTTCAGATGCAATCATTTTATAAAAATAAATATTAGTAGAACTATACTTTCATAGTCAATTAAAAATTCACAAACTGAAACATTCAAAACATTAATATATATCATCTCGATAATGATCGATCAAGTCAATCGGTAGTAAAATGTAGCTTGGTAAATTAAAATCAACAGTGCATAAAACCTCTACTTTTTATATGTAAACTATCAATTTTATTAATTAACGAGTAGATTGTTATCATATTATCAACTAAAGTTTGATATAAATTTTCTTATAAGTATCTTATAGATGAATTGATTGTACATATATTTTTTAGACCATCAGTTTACATAATTTTTATATATATTTTTTTTTAAAAAAAAAAGGTCTCGCTAAATTACTAGTGGTATTGTTTTGTTGGTATATTCTTGATGTCAAATATTATGATTTTTTTTTCAATAATAATTCATTATTCATGGCTCTCCTTAATGATCTCCCATAATATATATTTATTCATGGTAAACCACTTTAGGTTTTCCTTTTCTTTCTCATTACCTATCAATATTATTGAATGATGTAACATTGTTCATCGTCCGTAATGTTTGGTGTTTAAATCCTATAAAAGCCACCTTTCTCACTTGCATATTCCATAAGTTGTGCAGTATTTCTCTAATCATCAAGAGAAAATACTGCAATTCTCAGAGAATAATCAACCTATCTTTGAACATAAAACAAGAAGAAAATTCACTAAATAAAAATGGCACGTCAAGTGATTGTTGTTGCTCTCCTCTTTGTTGCCTTTGTTGGGTTGGTTTCCTGTGCCTCATCACCAAGCAGCTCACCGTCTTCATCCCCATCATCATCTCCATCATCATCACCATCATCATCATCATCATCATCATCATCGCCATCGTCATCCCCCGCAGCTGCACCTAAAAGTAAGAGCAATGGAAGTGCACCCACACAATCACCCAAGTCATCATCACCACCTAAGGGAAACTCACCATCATCATCTCCTACTTCAGATTCCTCCAGCTCAGCAGAATCACCTGAAGAAGAGGATGTCTCATCACCTCCTTCTCCTTCAACAGATTCTACCACCACAAGTGACTCAGCTCCCACACCAAGTGCTACATCAGCTGAGGCACCCACTACAAGCAGTGCCACCACTTTGAAGGTTTCATCCATCTTTGCTGTTGCAGCTGTTGCTGGATTCTTCTTCTAACATGCTAAGCCCACATATTTTACTCATTAGTTATTTAAAGCTTCATCTTGGTTGAGTGATTCTTTTGTAATAGATTTTGACTAAAATATTCAAAAGTCAAATCAAATGCCTCATTTTTACTTTAACGTGTCATTAGTTCTTCTTATGAACCAATACATCTCTTATTAGTGAATCTTTTTTGTAACTCTGAATAATATTTTTTTTGTGACCAAGGATTTTCGCAATATGTAAGTTTAAAGTCAAAAGCTTTGTTATACTCCCCTCATTCGCTATTATAATTTTTTTTCTTCATCAGAATTAATTTAACTTACCTTTGGGGTAAATTAAATTACATTAATTTAAATATTTTAAATATACAATCTAATTAGATATCTGAAAATTATATAAAAAATAGTACATGTTGAAACCATTCACATATAAATTCAAAGAAAAAATATATTTTAAAATATTAGTCAAGGTCTTATATAATTTAACTCTACGGATAAAAATGAAGGAAGAAACTTTATTCGGAAGCCTATCACAATGGATTTGGCTTCCCTCTATCCCTTTTCCCTTCTCCCTTCTCATATAACCATTGATTTATTTTTAAATTTTAAATTTTATCAATATGAGGTATTTATCTCCTATCATTGTTATTATTTATTAAATTTTGCACTAATGAACATTCGTGGCAAATAATTTGACGAATTGAAGTAGCTAGTAATTGGGTTACTAGCAGTTTTAATTAAATTATAATGTTATAATTTTAGGATAATGTATTGTATGATTTATTATTTAAAAATGATATTTTTTTGTTTCATATATATATATGTGTGTGTGTGAGATTTCTGATAATGATAATGAACGTCATAAATGAAGGTTCTGCATAATTTGAGATTTACAATTTTGTTTGTTTGGTATAGTTAGATATTTAAAATAGTTTTTTAAAATTTATGGCTACTAGTCATGTTTCAGTTTTTTTTAAAAGTACAAAAAATATTTTGAAAAATTATGATCAAACACATTTTAAAACTTCAATTCAAATATAATTTGGATCTAATTCTATAAAAATATTTAAAAATTTATGATCCAACACTAGCTTAAAAAACTTATATACTTTTTTACAATGAGAAAGATGAAATTTTCTTCACAACAGTACACACACATTTAATATGTGCTGAACCGTAATCCAACTGGGCCAATCTATATAATAATAAAGTTGAATATGAAAACGGTTAGGTGGCGCTCTCTAAGAGCTTCAATCATATTTATCTTTTTTTTGTGGGGTTTTTGGCCTTTTTTTTTAATTTTAAAATACAAAAAAAGTTACCTAAAAATTTAAAGAACATTAAAGATAATCATATTTAATTGTATCTTCATCAATAGCCATATTTAATTTATTTTGTCATGAATGTTATTATTTTCTTTTTCTATAATATTTATCAATTTCTCATCAATTATTACAAACCTTTTCATTTGATTTAAAAAGAATTCCAACAAATTTTTCACGAAAGTTAAATTTTATGGGTTTTATTTATTTATTTTATAATCTTTTCCTTTTTTTGGTTCTTTATTTTACTTCTTTTTATTATTTATTCAATTCAAGAAATTTTTATCTTTATATAATATAAATTTATTTCTTTAATCTTTTTTATTTTCGTTTTTTCTTCTTTATTTAACTTTTAAGTTTCACTTCCATAACTTAAATCTATTAAACTTCTATTCTTAATAATATCATTAATTTTATGACTTTTAAGTTTTCATATTCATAACCTCCACGGTGAGGTGGCGCTCTCTAAGAGCTTCAATTCTATTTATCTTTTCTTTTGTGGGGTTTTTGGCCTTTTTTTAATTTTAAAATACAAAAAATTCACCTAAAAAATTAAAGAACATTAAAGATAATCATATTTAATTATATCTTCATCAATAGCCATAATTAATTTATTTTTTCATGAATGTTATTATTTTCTTTTTCTATAATATTTATTAATTTCTCATCAATTATTACAAACCTTTTCATTTGATTTAAAAAGAATTCCAACAAATTATTCACGAAAGTTAAATTTTATGGGTTTTATTTATTTATTTTATAATTCTTTTTCCTTTTTTTGGTTCTTTATTTTACTTCTTTTTATTATTTATTCAATTCAAGAAATTTTTATCTTTATTTAATATAAATTTATTTCTTTAATCTTCATTATTTTTGTTTTTTCTTCTTTATTTAACTTTTAAGTTTCACTTCCATAACTTAAATCTATTAAACTTCTATTCTTAATAATATCATTAATTTCATGACTTTTAAGTTTTCATATTCATAACCTCCAACTATTAAATTATAAAATTTAAGATACTTTATGATATCTCTCCATTTTTATCAATATAAATTCACAAGTTTTTTGTTTCATGAAATCCCAACTCAAAATGATTTTTTATATTTCATTTTTCTTTGTAGTATTATTATATTATAAAATTCATGTTTTAATTTGAAATGATGAAGAAGACTCTTGAATGTTGATTTTGTCAAATAGGATGCCGAACAAGAGCTCAAAAAAGTGGGCACTGATTCTGTATTCTTATTTTTATCTATGTTTTTATGATAAGGTCCCAAGGAAGATGTGTTTGTTTGTGTTTTCTCTATGTAACTTCTTTAGTTTGAATTTTTATAATAATTTATTATTGCAAGTCTGTATTTTTGTTTAGATGCAAATTAGTTATTGTTACTTTGTGTGTAATTAATAATACTAACTATTAACAAACATTTAAAAATACTATTGCACAGAGAACTATTTATATTTTCTTTAAAGATTCCTTCATTTTTGTCTATATAAATCCATAATTTTTTATTTCATGAAACTTTTGCTCGAGATTATCCTTTTTATTTCATATTTGAAGTAATGTTTTTCTTAATTCTTCTTGAAGTCTCTCTCACATAACTGCTAAAACATAAGTTAAAGAGCCAAAGAGGCACCTAAATATTTCTTATTTCAAGTTAAATAACGGACATTGAAGAAGAGTATTAAGTACTAAATCTACACTACACTACTACACTACAACATATTTTTACTTCAATTTGTTGGATTTCATTACATGAAAAGTTTTTATTTTTTAGACCTAAAAAGTGCAATTCAATTTCATTTTGTATGTACTCATCAATTTCATGAAATTCACCTTCTCGTAGTATGTCAATTTTTTTTTTTGGTTTGGAGTGGGGCAATAAAGTAAGATATTTTTACTAAATTACCTTTAATATATATCTTGAAAAGAAAATTAGTTCTTTGACCCAATTTTTTGGTAAGATAATTCTTTTTAATTAAATAAGGGTAAAATTGAAAAAAAAAATCATCATTAAAGTCTTTTTGATTATGTAAAATACAATTTATTTTGAAATAAAATAAAAAATAAAAACAAAACTTTATTTTGAAATGAAGAGAATATGTAATGTAAGAAAGTGAAAAAAGTATAGAAAAGTTCAAAGACCTTCTTTATTATCTGTGAGGTGACCAAAATTACTGTAAATATAATTAGCAAGACAATCTAACTGTACTTATCAATTTAAATTTAGCATAATTTACATATGCTCATTTTTACGTTTTAGACATTACAATTTCATTCATCTTTTTCCTCTTTTTGAGTTTTTTTATCTTCATTATTTTTATTAATTAATTTATTTAATAATAAAAAATTTATCATATTATTTCATCTAATTATATCTCATGAGTTACACAAAAGCCTATATTTATTTGCATTCTCTACTTAAATAACATGCCTCATCAATTTCTTTTCCCTAATTTTTAATGCTTACCCAATCTATGTTAAACTCATTTATATATATATATATATATATACTAGTTTTTCGACACGTGCTTGCTTATTAAAGTGAAGAGTTGAATAATAAGCTTTGCACAAAATAATATTGCACATTTTTTTGTGAATGTTCAATGTGGATCGTCATATATATCTCTTATTCATGCAAATCTATGAAGATAGTCAATGAAAAATTTTATTAGTTAAATGAAACAATGCGTATATTTATTTCAATTTGATGAGGTAAAATCATGTAATTAATCGTATCTCAGTAATATTATCTCATAGACGATATCTGTTGTGCATTTTTCTTGTCATCTAACAAGATGTGCTTTGCACGTGTATTCCACATTAAACTGTTCATATGTCATATGAACATGTGAAGAGAACAACTACATTTTATTTTTTAGAACTAATCTTTGTATATTAATTTTTATTTTATAAGTTATAACATAATAGATGACGTTCTTGTTGTTGGCTCTCATATTTGACTTCTCGATTAACTGTATACATAAATTAAAGAAAGTTATTTGACTGTCCATGGTTAATTGAGAAATGTTTCCTTTTTTTTTACCGGAAAAACTAAAATTAAAATTAAAGAATACATTCTATCTCTGAAATCATATATTATAATCACTTGTTTATCTTACACCTAACTAAGATGTAGTTCATATACTTGTAAACGATTTTTAATTTATTCAATCAAGCATGATTCATCCAAGGAAAAATAACAACATTGTGTTAGCACATGTATAGGGGCGGTGTAATAATATGAAAAATTATTGATCAACAGTTAATACAAGAAAAGTTGAAAGATAGAAATAATTAATGTAATAATTACTATGAGAATTCATAATATTATAACTAAAGAATGTTACAGAGTGTGAATAACGTTTGCAATAATTAGTAATAACTAAGAGAATTTGTAATGTTATAACTAAAGGATTAATGTGCAATAGATGTATTTCTAATAAATTTTATACTTACATAAATTAATAGGGTTTTTAATTAATGTTACTATTTTTCTTATAGTTATTAGATTTTAATTTAGTGTAGGGACAAAATGAAAATGTTTATTCCATATTACTGAATATAAAATTTATTTTGTAATTGATAAATTTTTAACTGATTCATATATATTCACATATTTTCACTCTTGAGAAGTTTAATAATTTTTGGA